TATACATGATTTAAACTTGTTGAAACCTCTAATAATCGTGCGTAATTAACATATGCCATACATCAATTGATTTATATGGATAATTAATACATCCAAAATAGTTTACATCGTGTACACAATAATTACGGCATTACATCGGCGGTGACGGTTGACCGCACGTACTTTCTCCTCACTATTGTTCCCTCCTTGTGATCGCTGCGTGAGTAAGGGGTGTCTTCATTTGATAGGAGGATGCTAGGGTCAATCGTCACCGTGAAAGGGGGTTGCCCATCCAACTGATCGTAATCCTCGTCAGTCTTGTCCTCAACTCCGACGATTTTTCTTTTGCCTGGGAGAACCACTTGACGCTTAGGCTCATCAGGCCCTCTGCCCTTCTTTCCTTTGCTAGACATGTCCTTCACGAAAAAGACTTGCGTTACATCATTGGCAAGGACAAAAGGTTCGTCCGAGTATCCAACCTTGTTAAGGTCAACAGTTGTCATCCCACTGTCATCAATCATTACGCCTCCACCAGTCAACCTAACCCATTGGCACCGGAACAGAGGAACCTTGAGAGGACCATAGTCAAGTTCCCATATGTCCTCGATGGCACCGTAATACGTGGCAGTTGTTCCATCGTGTCCCATGGCATCGACACGAACAGCGCTGTTTTGGTTCGTGCTCTTCATGTCTTGGGCTCTCGTGTAGAATGTGTACCCATTGATCTCATATCCCTGGAATGTCGCGATCGACCCAGACGGTCCCCTCGCCAGGAAGGCAAGTTGTTGGTTGATCGACTCGTTACCCATGAGATGTTGTCGTAGCCACGCGGGGAAAGTATCAATGTGATGCCGTGTAATCCATGCATCGGACTTACCGATGTTCCTGGCGCGAACTAGAGCCAAGTGCTCCTCGATGTAAGGAGCTACCAATGAAGAGTGTTGCAGAACAGTGAAATGGGCTTTACGGAATAAATTGTTGTCTACCGTCATTATTGCTTTCCTTCCGAGAGTTCCCTTTCCCCGTAGTCTCCCTTCATGGCGTGATTCAGGTACCCCGATTGGGCGAAGGTCTTCGATAAATTCTACGCAAAATTCGATGACCTCCTCTGTTCCATAACCCTTGGCGATGCTTGCCTCTGGACGAGCACGGTTACGAACATACTTCTTCAGAACGCCCATGTACCTCTCGAAAGGAAACATGTTGTGTAGGTACATAGGCCCGAGAATACGGATCTCTTTCACAAGGTGACAAAGCAGATGCGTCATTATATTGAAAAATGAAGGTGGAAATATCAACTCAAAACTGACGAGACATTGCACCACTTCATTCTGAAGGGCTTCTAATCTATCCGGATCGATGACCTTCTGCGAAATTGCGTTCATGAATGCACATAGCTTTGTTATTGTTGCCCGGACATTGTCTGGAAGGATACCCCTTATTACAACTGGTAGCAGTTGTGTCATCAACACGTGACAGTCATGAGACTTTAGGTTTGTGAACTTCTTCTCCTTCGTGCTTATTATTCGCTTGATATTCGTGGAGTATCCAGACGGTACCTTTATGCTCTCCAAGCATTCAAACATACTTTCCTTCTCTGCCTTGCTAAGAGTGTAGCTGGCTGGACTCAAGTAATGGCTTCCTTTCTCCTTTGGTTCCGGGTGAAGGTCGCCGCGTTGTTCCATATGCTTCAGATCATTACGTGCTTCCAGTGTATCTTTCGACTTTCCGTATACACCTAGGAAGCCAAGAAGGTTTACGCAAAGGTTCTTAGTGAGGTGCATCACGTCGATTGCGTGGCGTACGTCCAAGAATTCCCAATATGGTAACTCCCAAAATATAGAGTTCTTTTTCCACATCGCCGCGTGACCATCTTCGCTCTCTATATGCTGGCTTCCAGGCCCCTTTCCGAACACTACTTTAAGATCTTTAACCATAGCAAACACTGTTTTCCCGCTGCGATGTTTAGGCTTCGTACGGTGGTCGGCCTTATGTTCGAAGTGCTTGCCTTTCTTCCGTACCGGGTGGTTTGCTGCAAGGAATCGACGATGACCCATGTATACAACCTTCCTACAGTGCTTAAGATACGTACTTTCTGTTTCATCCATACAGTGAGTGCAAGCCTTGTACCCCTTGTTGGACTGTCCGGATAGGTTGCTAAGTGCAGGCCAATCGTTGATGGTTACGAACAGCAGCGCTCGTAGGTTAAACTCCTCCTGTTTGTCCTCGTCCCACACGGGGACACCTTCCTTCTTCCACAACTGTTTAAGATCTTCGACCAGTGGTCTTAGGTACACGTCGATGTCGTTACCAGGTTGCTTGGGGCCTTGAATAATAATCGGCATCATTATGTACTTCCTCTTCATGCATAGCCAGGGGGGGAGGTTGTAGATACACATCGTAACGGGCCAAGTGCTATGGCCGCTGCTCATCTCTCCAAAAGGATTCATGCCATCCGTACTCAAACCAAACCGTATGTTTCGTGCGTCCTTTCCAAATTCTTTAAATTTTCTGTCGATGTTTCGCCACTGCGAACCATCAGCGGGGTGTCTCAGCATCCCGTCCTGTTGACGCTCTTCAGCGTGCCATCGCAACATTCTAGCATTCCCCTTGTTCCTGAACAAACGCCTTAGCCGTGGTATTATAGGGAAATACCACATCACCTTAGCAGGAATTCTCTTCTTTGTTAGCTGCCCGTCAACTTCTCCTGGATCGTCCCGTCTAATCTTGTATCGTAGTGCTTTGCAAACAGGGCATGCTTCTAGGTTCTCATACTCCTCACCGCGATATAGGATACAATCGTTCGGACATGCGTGAATCTTATGAACTTCCAGTCCTAACGGGCAGACTATCTTCTTAGCCTCGTACGTTGTCTCGGGCAATTTGTTTCCCCCCGGAAGAATGTTCTTGACGAGTTTCAATAAATCGCCAAATGCCTTGTCACTAACCCCATTTTTTGCCTTCCATTGCAACAACTCCAGAGTGGTATCCAACTTTTTGTGCCCCTGCTCGCAACCTGGGTACAACGAAGTTCTGTGGTCCTCCAACATCTTGTCCAATTTATGGGCCTCCTTTTCACTTTCGCAGTCTTCCCTGGCGTCCTGCAACATCTGACCAAGATCATCCGCAACGTCGTTACCATCAGCAGCTATTTCCTCCTCGCCCGTTTGATTTCCTTCAAATCCAACATACTGAGCAAAGTCCGGAATATTGTCGTCTTCCACTTCATCTTCTTCCATTTCAACACCTTGCTCTCCGTGGGATGTCCAACAATTATAGCTTGGCATGAACCCCGACTCAAACAAGTGGAAATGAATAGTCCTGGATGCAGAATACTCCTTCTGATTCTTACACTTATTGCATGGACAACAAATAAAACCCCTTTGCCTGTTAGCTTCGGCCACTCTCAAAAAATAGTGCACGCCGTCAATAAACTCTTTGGACCGCCGGTCAGCGTACATCCATTGCCGATCCATCTACATGAGTCAAAAAAACCGCACACAAATAATTATTCTTACAATAATGACAGTCATACAATAATTATAAGATAGCTTTATTCATACAAAAATCATAAAATATTACACCAAATAATTCTTAAAAACTATTTGTAAAGTTTTAAACTAATTTTAATGTGTTTTACTTCTTTTAATTTTTATTTTAGTTTGTTTTCTATTATTTAATATTAACTTTCACTAGAGTTTTCCTTCTCAACTATTTTATAAAACCTTGTTTAGCAAATGAACTAAATTTCTATATATTCTTTCTTCCCCACACACATTTTCTCTCTCATCAACTTACAACTAAATTTTGGAGACAAAAAAGTGTGCAAAACATAGGTGCAAATGTAGTATGACAAAAAAAAACATTGGAGGATGAAGTTGCAAACCTTTTAGGCACCTCCGATTTATATGTAATCACCAAAATAAATTCAATAGAAATTTTGGCATGACCTCCCCTCTTTTTTGAAGAAATTTTGAAGCTTGCTCGGGCAGCTGGAGGAGGAAGAAGACATATATATAGGGGTGGGACTTTAGTCCCGGTTGGTAGCACCAACCGGGGCTAAAGATCACCGGGATCATTAGTCCCGGTTGGTATTACCAACCGGGACTAAAGTTAAGATCTTTAGTCTCGGTTGGTAGCACCAACCGGGGCTAAAGATCACCGGGATCTTTAGTCCCGGTTGGTATTACCAACCGGGACTAAAGTTATACCAACCGGGACTAAAGATCCCGGGGGGGCCTGACAGGTCCTGACAGCATTCGAACCGGGACTAAAGATGATCTTTAGTCCCGGTTGGTAACACAAACCGGGACTAAAGATCAAATATGCCCGTTACCCTTTTTAACCGGGACTAAAGATCATCTTTAGCCCCGGTTTTTATTGCATCCGGGACTATTGTGGAAATCGGCCGACCGACGAAAGATGGTTTCTCCACCAGTGTGTTGTGGCCTCGCCTAGCAGCCAAGCTACTCTGCTAGTTGCTCAAGCTCGCTTGTAGTCTGAGTCTGTTCTTTTTCTCTGTCTTGTGGACCCTATATATTGACAGGGCTAAAATATATTTTTTTTTCTCACCTATCCTTTGAGCAAAGGAGCTCTGTGGAGTATCTAAGCTGATTAATGATTTCATGGTATGTTTTAGCAAATGATGATATTTAACAATGTCCTGTAGAAAAATTCCCTCGAATCTTTTGAGGAATTTAGTAATATCTCTTTCAATATTTTTCTCAAGACTAAGAGTCTTAGTAACTAGCATTAACATGGCTTAAAATCATGAATAATATGTAGATATTTTTTTTAGTTGAGTTCTCTTTTGAATCCTATTTGGTTGCTCCATTTGTACTACTCCCTCCGTTTCACAACATAAGTCATTCTAGCATCTCTCATATTCATATTGATGTTAACGAATCTAGATAAATATATGTCTAGATTCGTTAACATCAATATGAATGTGAGAAATGTTAGAATGACTTACATTGTGAAACGGAGGAAGTAGAACACAGCTGATGTCATCTTTTCTGCAGCCATTTCAAAGTCTGGTGCTGGACAACTTGATCTTCTTATACTAGAAACAAACACTTTGCATGGGAAGGTAAGTTTGTGCCACATGATTATCATTTGAAACGGTATTTTTAATATCCTTCACACGACATCTGCTGATAATCTCATACACACTTCACCCTCTGTAAACAGGGAAATGCTCGCAGTACCCATCTTCATTTGAGTGAGGTTAAATTTAAGATCTTTTAAATGCTTGCTGATTTGTTTTTGCAGTAACAATAAAGAATTTGATGATATGCAATCTGTCTAGTAAACTCTACCTGAACTGGATAACTCAAACAGTGCAATATTAGCCTAGTAAACTCTACCAGAACTGTATCCATACCTGTCAAGATGGAGCATCAACCAAATATTTTCTCCCAACATTTTACATATTTTTCAGACTCTTGATGCTGTGAAGAGGATAAGCCCTAAGAGAGCTCTGTTGATTGGAATGAGACATGAGTTCGAACATTACAGAGAAAATCAGAATCTGGCAGAATGGTCAAGCAGGTATGCATGGACGCATGGTTCCTGAAACATTTATATCTGCACACTTTTATTGTCTGAAAGAACTGTCTAACTTGTAAAATTGGGTGATCATAGAGAGGGAATACCTGTACAACTAGCTCACGACGGCCTCCGCGTGTTTATCGACCTGTGATTTGGTAGGCATCATACTGCACATTTCAAATATGAGCAACATTGCTTTCCCAAATATAGTTGAAACAGTTTCAGTGATGTCATAATAGACTATTGCAAGAGTACTGAATCCTTATTATCGTCATTGCTTATTTGTAAAAGAAACAAGGTCTCATGTGGGAAAGAATTTGGTGATTACGCTTTTTGTAGAGAATTTACCTGTTCTCATTTGGTGGTATATAGTAAATACAGAATTAGTGAGATCGAAGAATGAATAATCTTGGTTTCTTGGGATTATGAAACCTCGTTGTGATTGATAATATATTTTCTACTTCTATATATACTCGGTAAAGAATATGATATGTATATGTCTCTTTCTCTCTTCGAAAATGTGAATTAATGTTGCATTCACCTAGACTTTTGAGCTACTAGTAAATAATCAATGTGAATAATTCAACCATCCTATTATAAAAATGGAAGAAAGAGTGATGGATATGCAACAGGTTCTTATTGGCCCCTGATCAACGAGAAGAACGTCATTCATGTGGTATTTTTATGTTGACCCTTTTACTGATGCAATTGTTTGACTACTTCATCTCAATCATTGCATGAGCTCACCTGACCATATTCCATACACATGGATTCTAGATTTTCATTTTGTCAGTGAAGGAATTACTATATCCAAACCATGTTTCCTAATTCCTATATGCATATGCATGGGTACTATTCATATTTATGAAACTAACAAGATAAGGAACCTACTTTCAATAAATCAGATTATTCGTGAAAAAAATCAACCAGATCATTCCAAAGGAAGTGGAATTGCAGATGGATCATGATATTATTGTATTAATTAATAATCCAACATTAATTTGAGGTAAAACAAAATCACAGAATAGAACTACAAAACTATCTCATCGTTTAGTCAAGTATTCGATAGTTAGTTAAGAGCAAGTTTAATAGTATAGCCAACTGCTGGCTCCAAATCATATATAGTCAATTTAATAGTCAATTTATATAATAGTTACCTATGAACAAATACTACATAATTAATATCTGGTCCCACATATCATACACACATGTATTTTGGAGTCTGCGCTGCAGCTGGCTACAAATATGTAGCCCGCTGCTCTTCTCTCCTATGTTATCTCCCTGAAATGTGTTTATAGCTGGCTATAGTCTACTATTTTACCTGCTCTAAGCAACACACTGTTCTGATGATAACAACATGGATGACATGTTGTTTTCTCTTGAAGTCACAAATAAATCTTGAAGAACATATCATAGTCTGAACTGTACTTTTGTACCAGTTCTTGCAACATTATCCGAGGAAGGTTAGTTCCTAGCCATTTCTTCTCCGAATATACATTTTCTTACTGAACAGCTTTTCTCTTGAACACGCTAGGTGACTCAATCAACTTAATGCTTCTTTTGTGAGAAATCAAGTCTTTAAAAACTAAGGTAGTGTTTGAATCTTCTGAAGATGAAGATAAAGATTAAGTGTGTCATGTAAACGAGGTGGTAATAACATGTGATTAATTGAATTTTAATTATTGTAAACTTGAAAAATAAATTAATCCGATATTTTAGAACAACTTCCATATAAAAAGTTTTCGCATGAAACGTACCGTTTAGCAGTTTAAAAAGTGTGTCACTTTTATCCAAAAGCTTATCCAACTTTTGTTGGAGATTTGAAGCAGTACTAAAAGATATAAACATTTTTTTCAGTTCCGTTGTTTTGCTTATGTTTATCCGTACAACTTATTAATTAAAAATCAATAATTTATGGGTAAAACTTCAATGTATCTTTAGCGATCTAAAAGCAAATGCCGTAAAATAAATTACGATAAAAAAAACCATAAAATAAATTTAAAAAATTAAGTTTAAAAATTTAAATTTTAGCTTCTAACCATAAGCTAGCGTAAGTGAAACAACTACTCCCTCCGTCCCAAAATAAAGCAACCTAGGATGGGATGAGTCATCCCAGATAGGACTACGAATCTGGAGGCATATCCAGATTCGTAGTCCTGTATGGGTCTCATCCCATTCTAGGTTACAATATTTTGGGACGGAGGGAGTACTTCTAATCATGCAAAATGTCGTTTTCATTATCCACAGTAACGATCTCTAAAATATGACTTCAATGGCCGTGTTATATTTGTAATACCTAGTAAAATTATTAATTTGTGGGATTGCTTTCGATGAGAGATGTACTCAATGATTTTTTATGTCCATATATATCACGTTGATTTGGTTCTGCTTCCTCTCTTCTTTAGGGTACCGAGTAAGATTTTTTTCCTACTGATCTTACATGTGTATACGTTTCGCTGACGTGGATAACACCTGTTGGGTCTGATCATATCCTTTATGGAATTCTTTCTATAAAGATATATAGTCACAAGCTCAACATACGTAAAGCCATAAGATAAGCCGTTAGATCTCTCCTATACAGCCATGCTTGATATTGGCCATTCATATTGCGTGCAATTTTTTCCTTATTAATTACCATAAATATAAAAAAACCATTAACTTATTCAGTACCCACTAATATAGTTATTGCGGATTATTCGTACTTATTTATCTTAAAAACATTTCATCATGTTTGTTACTTACTACCTCCATATTTTAATGTATGACGCCGTTGCCTTTTTGTCCAACGTTTGACCATTCGTCTTATTAAAAAAATTTATGTAGCTATCATTTATTTCATTGTGACTTGATTCGTCATCAAATGTTCTTTAAGCATGACATAAGTATTTTCATATTTGCACAAAAATTTTGAATAAAACGAATGGTCAAACATTGGTCAAAAAATCAACGACGTCATACATTAAAATATGGAGGGAGTACAAGTTTACAGAAACACGCGGGATTTCACCTAGTATGTGAGTAATGAGTGGTCAATGAGATTTCGTACCATGTCAACTATAACCACCGTGTGGAAGTGAGACTATTAGAATGTTATTTGTCAATTTTGGAAAGTCCATTCCCAATCGTATGGATATGATTTTGTTACAACACATGAGCATGTTAATTACTAGTTTTTAATATATCAATAGGGCATTCTAATAAGCATGGATAAAAGTAAGAACTACCCCCCTCACTTCAATACCGCCGAACTCTTACAACCAGACGAATTACCCCCCCCCCCCCCCTCTTCCCCAAAACATTATTTTGGGTTGTTTTGGGCTAGGTTGACTGACGTGGCATTTTCAATGTGGCAAAAAATATTTTAAAAATAATGGGCCCACTTGTCAGTGCTCCATATATTCTCACCTCTTCTCTTCTACCTCCATCCACCTCGATCTCTCTATCTACCCTTGAACCGAGCAGGGAGGAGGAGGAGGGGCGGCAGCGGAAATTGGTCCCCCGGGTCGCTTGAGGCGAAGCGTGGCCAGCTGGAGAAGCCTAGGGCGGTGGTGGTGCGTGGTTGGCCGAAGAATAATCCTAGGACAACGGCAGCGGCGGTAGTCTAAGATCCAAGGAGAGGGCACCGGTACAACGCCCTCGTCGGCGCACAGCTCTGTGAACTACACGAGCTCCGCGACGGCCTCCCCACGCCACAGCACCCTCTCGAGCCCGGCTGGCCGCGTCGATGACGACCAGCGGCACCCCAAGGTCGGGGAAGGAGAAGCCCCTGGCCTTCTCCTTTCAGCGAGGTGACATCCCTCAGCTCCTAGCCTGCTCCTGACATCATCTGCTAACTCAGCGCTGGAGTGGGAACCCAGCAACAGCGTCGGCCTCCTCCAATGCGTCCGCTCCGAGGTGGCGGTACGGGAACCCAGGAGATGATCTCCTCGCCCGCGGCTGGTGCTCCTGCCGTTGACACCAAAAGAGGGACTCGAGGAGGCATGTGGTGACAACATCGGCAGCGACCTCAGACCCAAAGGAGAGGCGAGGCGATGCCGGCGTGGGAGGAGGCCGAGCCGCACGCCGGCATGGGAGGAAACGGAGCTCTGGTCGACGTCCTCCATGAGCTCACGCACTGCACCTTCCTCCCCAACCTGTTGGCCCTTGCCGCCGGCGCTTTCTCCGCTCACCGAGAGAGGAAAAGAAGGGGGAGAGGAAAAAAAAAGCAACGCCAACAAGTGGGGCCACCGGTTTTTATTTGTTTTTCTGACTGTATTGCCACGTGGACTGTATCGAGTTAAGGGAGTAATTCGTTGGGTTTTAGGAGTTTGGGGGTGTTGAATGTCCGGTATTGCAGTTAGGGCCTAGAGGGGGGGGATCGTACTACAGCAATAGTTTGGGGGTGTAGCTGATGACCCGGTATAATTAATGCTCCCACTTCCACGCTTGAAAAGTTACTACAATCTGTTGCCAGCCTAACCATATTACTGGGATTACTCCCAATCTCAAGAACTGAAGTCTTAACCACAGAGAATTTGATATACGGTTAGATATATACTCTCACCCTGATCAAGTGATCATTGCACGGCGTATCCGGCAACCACACCATGCATCAAGAAGCACAGTTTCGATTCCTTCTCCTACTCCTCTTCCTTTCGACGGCAACGTCGTCCGCCGACGCCGCCGTCTCGTCGACGTCCGGGCGCGCCATGTCGCTGCCCGGCTGCCCCGACAAGTGCGGCGACGTCTCCATCCCCTACCCGTTCGGCATCGGCGACCGCTGCGCCGCCGCCGGCCTGAGCCGCTTCTTCAACCTCACCTGCGACGGCTCGCGGTCGCCGCCGGTGCCCATGCTGGGTGACCCCGGCGCCCAGGCGGACGTCATCGACTTCTCGCCGGAGCGCGGCGAGCTGCGGCTCTACGCCGGCCTCAGCTACGCCTGCTACGCGTCGTCGGCCACCTCCCCGTCCACCAACGCCACGTTCGCCTTCTCCCTCGTGGGCACCCCGTTCCGCGTCTCGCCGTCGCGCAACCGGCTCACGGTGGTCGGGTGCAGCGCGCTGGGCCTGGTGGTCGGCACCGCCAGCGGCGGCGGCGGCGACGACGACGACCTGTACGCCACGGGCTGCTTCACCTACTGCGCCGAGCTGAACGCCGCGGGCGCCGACGGCGCGCCGTGCGCCGGGGCGGGGTGCTGCCAGGTGCCCATCTCGCCGGACATCCCCTACCTCGGCGCGGCGTTCCGCACCGGCAACTGGACGAACACCGCGTGGCGGTTCAACCCGTGCTTCTACGCCATGGTCGCCGAGGACGGGTGGTACAGCTTCCGGCGGCGCGACCTCGTCGGCGTCCTCGCGTACTACAACGAGACCGTGGACGCCGGCCGTGGCGTCCCCGTCGTCATCGACTGGGCCGTCAGGGACGGGTGGTGCCCGGCGACGGCGGAGGAGAGGGCGCGGCGGAAGTACGCGTGCGTGAGCGGTAACAGCTACTGCGTCAACTCGAGCAACGGCATGGGGTACACCTGCAACTGCTCCCGAGGCTACGAGGGCAACCCCTATCTAGCCGGCGGTTGCCAAGGTATGTGTAAATGTGTAATGGCCAAAATAAAATTATGAATATACTCCCTCCGCATTTTAATGTATAACGCCGTTAAATTTTTAAACAATGTTTGATTATTCGTTTTATTTAATTTTTTTCTATAAATATAAAAATATTTATGTCATGCTTAAAAAATATTTGATGATAAATCAAGTCACAATAAAATAAATAATAATTACATAATTTTTTTTAAAAAACTAATGGTCAAATATTGATAAAAAATCAACGACGTCATACATTAAAATAACTTTTTTTCTTTAGTATTTAACTATGGTTTGTTCAATTTTGAACCAATCAACATCATCTAAATAAAACTTTTTTTATTTTGTATAATAGTAGGAAGTTATAAATTAACTATAAAATTTAAATTTGAAAAAGTATGAATATGAATTAACTATAAAATTAAGTTCATCTTGTCAGCTGCAGCAAAAAAAATACAATTTATAATTTTATAGTTAATCTTCATGTTTTCCATGGTGTTTATTTTTAAGCATTGGCTTTACCTCGCTAAGAAGTCTTTCGTTTTCCACAGCTTACTAGCCTTGAACAAACGATGAGACTAGTTGTCTAAAACCAGTGTAATTTATGGGCCCATTACCATAATACTAAACTAACACTAGTGGACATAAATTTGTGTTTGATGGACCTAACACTTAATTTAAACCTATTAATTTCTGATCCAACCATATGAAAAATAGATGATGCCCCGCGCTTTGCTGCGAGATATATGTTATATATTAAAGAAATAATAAAATGATTTGGATTGAAACATTATAAAAATGATTTGAGAATGATGATTTAGCATGTGTCTATTTAGTTTTAAAATAAAATAAATTGTAGATATAATTACTATATGCTTGCATGTTGAGTTTTGTGTGTTTAATGGGTTGATGTGACATACTTATATATTGGTTTTAGGAGTGCTAATAAATACTATACTTGCATGTTGAGCTTTAAGTATTTAGTGGACATTAGCTTTATATAAAAAAGATAAGTGTGGCCACTGGTCACATTTGACAAATAGAGGGCCCAATATAAATCAAGTGCTAATTAACTATATCTGATTGTATTTAGACATAAACGAGTGCGTTCTACGGGAGCAAGACCCCAAGTACGAGGAGATGTACCCGTGCAGGCATGGCATCTGCATTAACACACCAGGTAGCTACCGCTGCAAATGCAAGGCTGGAACAAAAAGGGATGGCACGAATTTTGGGTGCCAACAAGTGCTTCCCATGGATTGGTCATAGGTAAGAATCATGTGAGAAAAGTAATTTTAATAAGAGTAAATTTCGGAATGAAACAACTATTTACAAATCTATCGTGTAAAACTATATATATTTAAGCCATAATATCGTAGATGCAGTATTTATTACTACAAAACTATATAACTAGGCTATAGTATCACATTAATTATTTCCTCTGTTCTAAAATATAAATATTTTTTATTAAAATTTATATCACAAAATAAGCATTTCCGAGACAGTGATTGCAACGCGTGTAAATTAATCTATACATTTTCAGCTAATGAGATTGTTGAAAAGGGAATCTAAGTAATTAAAAATTTAATATCGATCGGTAGCAAATCATTTACCTCACTAAATTTCTCTATTGGGAACAAATCTATGTGTGGATTTCAGTCCTACTGGTGACTACTAGTGGAGTACTGGAGTGCCCAAAGAAAAAAAAAACCCTACTGGTGACCAGAGTCATATACACACACATCTTGGCTAATCACTCCAAAGAAGACTTTCTTTAAAAGTTATTCAGATTAATTTATACTTCCTCCATTCCTAAATATTTAACGTCGTTGACTTTTTTAAATATGTTTGACCGTTCATCTTATTAAAAAAATTAAGTAATTATTAATACTTTTCTTATCATTGTTAAATATACTTTTATGTATATATATATATATATATATTTCACAAAAGTTTTTGAATAAGACAAACGGTCAAGTATGTTTAAAAAAGTCAACGGCGTTAAATATTTAAGTACAGAGGGATTATCTCATCTGTGACAAAACTCTTTTGTTTCATAGGCCTGAGTGCCTGTGCTATACTGGCAATGGCTCTGTCATGCTTGCTAGTCATTCAACTTCAGAGAAGGAAACACATACAGGAGAAACAGCAATACTTCAAGCAAAATGGAGGCCTCAGGCTGTTCGACGAAATGGTGTCGAGGCAGGTCGACACGGTGCGCGTCCTCACCGAAGACGAGCTCAAGAAAGCCACCAACAACTTCAGCGACGATCAGGTCATCGGTTGCGGCGGCCACGGCACGGTGTACCGGGGCACGCTCGACGATCTCCGGGAGGTCGCCATCAAGAGGTCCAAGGCGGCGGTCGACGGCCGCGGCGGCGGCGGCTGCGAGGATGAGTTCGTCAACGAGATCATCGTGCTCTCGCAGATCAACCACCGCCACGTCGTGCGGCTGCTCGGCTGCTGCCTGGAGGTGCACGTCCCGATGCTGGTGTACGAGTTCGTCCCCAATGGCACCCTGTTCGACCTCCTCCAAGGCGGGACGGCGGCGCGGCGCCGGCCGGTGTCGCTGGGCCTCCGGCTGAAGATCGCGGCGCAGTCCGCGGAGGCGCTGGCGTACCTGCACTCGTCGGCGTCGCGCGCGATCCTCCACGGCGACGTCAAGTCCCTTAACATCCTGCTCGACGGTGCGCTCGACGCCAAGGTCGCCGACTTCGGCGCGTCGGTGCTGAGGTCCGCCATGGGCGAGGGCGAGTCGTTCATCGAGTACGTTCAGGGCACCCTGGGCTACCTCGACCCGGAGAGCTTCGTCAGCCGCCACCTCACCGACAAGAGCGACGTGTACAGCTTCGGCGTCGTCCTCGCGGAGCTCGCCACCCGGAGGAAGGCGGTGTACGACGACGACGACGCCTCCTGCTCCGGCCACGGGGGCCAGAAGCGGTCTCTGTCCACCGCGTTCCTCGCCGCGCTCAGGCACGGCGAGCTCTGGAGCGTGCTGGACCGCGAGCTCGTGAGGCGCCCCGATGACGACGGCGACGGCGACGACAAGGCGGCGGTGGACGTGGTCCGTGAGCTCGCGGAGCTCGCGGCGCGGTGCCTGGGCCCGAGCGGGGACGAGAGGCCGGCGATGAAGGAGGTGGCGGAGCGGCTGCAGGTGCTGAGGCGGCGAGCCGAGATGCGGGCGGTGGCCGGAGCTGGAAGGGACAGCAACGGTGGCGAGGTGGATCGCAGCTGGATCATGTGTGGAGGAGGAGGAGGAGCAGTGGGGCGCGGCCATTTGGACACGAACACGACGGCTTCTTACCAGAGCACGGAGACTGACAAGATGCCGCTGACGCTGAGTGTGAACGACCTTGCACGCTGAGACTTCGGGAGACGTACGTCTTCTCTCAAGTAAAATTGTGTATTGGAAACTATGAAAAGGATTATAGGATGGTGCTTCTATAAGCTCATTTATTAGGAACAGTATATACATAACAATGCTCTAAATTGGCTACTATCAAGCTGTATGGTCGATGGAAACTCTTTTAATCACCCGATTTAATTTAATTTAATCACCCAGTGGATGCTTGATCACTCGTTTTCGTTTATTACATGTTAATTAAATGGTTATAAATATTTTTTTGGAAAATTGATAATACAGCTTAATATATAATAATATCTTTTACCAACATATAAATTCGAATTCCACTACTACAAATAATAAAAATGGCAAATTTAACAGTAGTTAGTGTTTAATTTGTTGCTTTCTCTGCAACTTGCCAAGTCGATTTTTTTGACTAGTATAGTATATATATTAAACTATGGGTTGACTTTTGAGGTCACGATTACGGTATTTGCATGGCATGGGGATCGTCGGTACCAGGGTATATGCGAGATTGAGGTAAAAAGAGACAGAGGCAAGAATTTTATATAGATTCGGGCCCCTTATCTGACAGGTTCGGATTTTTCACTCTCTTGGTCCCAAAATATAACAACTTTTAGCTCTCAAGATTTGTCCCAAAATATAACAACTTCTTCTCCAACAACATTCCTTTCCCAACCAATCACAACTCTCTGCCATTCACCTTTTCCACCTACCACCACTACTTAATCAATCACAACCCTCCACGGCTCCACCATTCACTTCTACCTATTTTCTAAATAACCATATTCAACTTTAAAAATGCTTATATTCTGGAACGAAGGGAGTAACATCTAACAACATGAGTGGAAGCTACTCCGGCCAATTTGAAAAAGCTAGCGGTAAACCAGTTCTCTTATAAAATCACAATCAGGGTGTGTTTAGTTTCACGTCAAAATTGGAAGTTTGAAGAAATTGGAACAATGTGACGGAAAAGTTGCTTTTAGATTCTAACTTTTTTCTTCAAACTTCCAAACTTTTCCGTCACATCAAACTTTCCTACACACACAAACTTTTAACTTTTCCATCAAATCGTGGTGTGTTTAGTTCATGCTAAAATTGAAAGTTTTGTTGAAATTAGAACGATGTGACGGAAAAGTTGAAAGTTTGTGTGTGTAGGAAAGTTTTAATGTGATAGAAAAGTTGAAAGTTTGAAGAAAAAAATTGGAACTAAATACGGCCCCAGTTTTTTCAAACTTTTAATTTTAACGTAGAACTAAACACATCCTAAACATGGCCTCAGTCGTCTGTAAAGGTAAAGACATGATGGGATAGATCCTCGGTATTTACAGTTGATAGCAGCTGCCACTCCGGATAATGATAACCAGTGCAGCCTTTTTTTAGTTGATGGAACAAAGCTGTGAGCTTATCATTGTTCGACACTACTAGGGGCTCAAGTCATGCCACTAGTAGAAGCCAATAACTCCATAATAAATGAAATGTGTTAGAAAATATTAGCAATTTTACCAGTTATTAGTTTAATCTAAAAAAGTAAGTGGTGTAGTGTTGTTCTTGTCGTCTGCCCGCAATTGTGGTGCCAGAAGCATAAGCAATTGTGGTGTTGTTCTTGTTCGTATGCCATCTTGTTAATTAGTATCTTCAGAGTTAACGTCAACCTTATTCATGTAATCCGTACGTAGTTGTAGTAGTCGATCACACAAATCATTGCCCAGTGGCGTAATACATATAGTCTAAGTAATCGATTACGTAAACTGATTTCTAGTAATATACTCCGTACTTTAGTGATGGATTACTCCAATATTAAATTGTTGAAGTAGTCGATTATATAGCAGTCGCGCAATACGTTCCCAAATACCTAATTCATCTTCTCCCAAGTCCTATCAGTGCAATTAATATTAGGAAGGAGGTGGTTCTGAAGACATGCTCTCCAATCGGTCGTGGACGTAAACGCTGAGATAGGAAATTAAACCAAAGCAATGGAAGTGGACAGAGGCAAAGCTAGAACAAAATGAAGGATTGTGCCACTTACTTAATTTACTCTGCTTTAGATCGAGTTTAAGCTAATGCGGGTTTCTAAGTTTGTATTAAGGGGTGTATACATGGTAAAAATAGTTAAGATATAGCTAAAAAATTTTCTTGACCGGGTTTCTAGGCACCCCCTAATATACTCTAGCTCCGCCCCTGAAAGTGGATCATGTGATTCTGTGCTCTCCAAATATTTATCTCACGATCTCAATGACACTAGTAGGACGCCTGTGCTAACGCTACTGTAGTATTTATATTAAGCAACCAAAACTCCAAAAGACCATGTATATTTTGATAATCAAATATAAAATGAGATGAATTTTAAGAAATTAAAAATGTTAGATGCAGAGATGTATAACACCAGTGTCAGATCCAAGTTGTATTTTCTACTCTTATGTACAGAATGAAAAATTTTCATCCCCTTGATGTGTTGCGTAACACCCCATATTTAACAATCGAGTCAGCTCAGGCAATTTGATCGAAACGTCCATAGTCACAACAAGCATCGCTAGAAAGAGCGGTGTCATGATATAAAACTACTTGCATATGCCACAAAGGCCAGAATAGATTGGCCATCTCACACAAATGTCAATAGCAGGCAATAGTAATTAGTTTTTTTGAACAATGAGGCAGTAGTAAGTTGATATAAAACTTGTTTAGATTAATTTTTCAGAACAGCTTGACACATGACCGCATCACTTTGTTTGTTAAGATAAATGATATTTTGCAGTGACTCAAATTAAGCAGGGTTAAACTGTAAACAAATTATATTTTCTCACACTACTGTAGGGTCCACAGAAAAAAGCCTCAAGCTTCCTGTTGGATGATTTCCACAGAAATCGAGGAGACATTCGAATTGATGGATCTGGATCAGTGTAGGTACTGCAAGACTACGTGGAGAAGGGTTGACACGATCTGCATCTGTTAACATCAGAAGAGCTAAAAACATTAAGTACCTTCAGGCTGCAGTTGGAACTTGTCAAACTGATATCCCAGGTGAGAACCATCGTAAATCCTGGATAATTAAGAGAGACTCTAAAGGCAGTGACAATCCCCAGTCACGCAACTCTCCATGGGGGCAGCAGCAGATTCCAATGGCTGTACCGATCGTCCCGCCAGAAACCCTCACCGGTAGTCTGAAAGAGTGAAAAGCGCATTCCGTTTCTCTTTGATACAAACAGCCAATGCAAATCCATTGACAGATATGTGAAAGTTAAGTTGTGAACACTTCTGAACCAATGCGCTCATCAGGGTCTTCTATGTTTCTTTGATTGTACAAACAACAGAGGTTGACTTATGCTTTGCCCGAGAAACAATACCTTCAGTAGCTGTCGGTCCTCAAGTTGTCTCAGTTGCAGCCCCAACCTTAATGACAGCTACATACTACTAATATAGAAAATCTAACATAAAGGGGCAAATCCAATTAATAGTGGATCTGAAAAAAAAAGGTATTCAATGGTGAATGACACATAAATATAATCTCAACACTAATATAATGTATACATTAATTATAAAAAAACATACATGAATATTACTCTGGCACAAATGTAAGATATAAAAGGCACATTGTTTTCTATTGGACTAATATAACACCAGAAATTGCTTAGAACAAATATGGCTGCATTCGCCAATAGATTAAGAGCCCGGCCAGCCATGAATGCAAGAATGGAATTTAGCATAATCATAACAAACACCCACTAGTTGAATGACTAAAGAACTGCAGTATTATTCATGAACATATTCTAACGCTAATATTCAGAAATCAAGTATTGCTTTCGGAATGAACAAACTATAACATTAATATTCACAAATCAAGTATGGCTTTCTTTCTGATGTTTCTGTCACTTAATTATTTCTTTTCAAGCTAACTACATGTCTACTTCCCCCATGTCAGAGAAAGCACAAGTAAATTTCATCCTAGATGCATGAAATTTCACAACAGACACAAGAATGTGTTATGTTATAGACACAATTCTAAAGAATAGACCCCAGAAAAATTGCAAGCCAAGTCAGGGCGTTGAACTATTATCCATTCTTCACACATTGATGCATACCATATGCCCATATCCAGGTGGCAACAGAGAAGCACTCTTCGCTGCAAATACAAGAATTTTCACAACGTAAGTAACTGTCCCTCGAATGTCATCAACATGCATGAGCTCATGAAGTTGACAAACTAAACAGGGAGTCAAGGACTCAAGGTTAGGCAAAGTTCAGAAACTAAACTGAATCAGAAATTGCATCAAGTTCAGAAAATAAACAGTAAAGCCATCAACTCTGGAAGACTCCAAGACCAAGACGAACCCTCGTCTCTGTTGCTGGGTGGCAGGTCCAGGTGACCAGGATGATGGGGAACAGCCCTGGCGGCTGCGCGGCTCCTCTCCATGATCTCTTCACTGGCACTCAGCCCAGCACCATTTGGAGATGAAACATGCATCCCTGGTTCAAGTTCATGGAGCCATGTGGAGAAGCGGCAGCGCTAGCGGGGCCGCACAGCGGAGATCGGTGAAGGGCGCAGACGACGGCGAGGCGAAGAGGCAGAGGCTGCTCTGGGGCGGCGTGGAGATCAGCTTGGAGGGCGACGATGACCCATGCGACTCCGGGCGATGGTGATTTGGCGGCGCTGACGAGAGAGGTGAGAGCGGCGGGCGTCGGTGTCCCGACGGCGGGGATCCTAGAGGACGGCGTCAGTGTGGGGACGGCGGCGACGATTTGTGAGGGACGGCTGCTGGGGGAGGGGCGGCGGCACGGTGTGGGGACGGTGGCGAATCGTGGGCGGCGGCGCAGAGGAGATCGGCGAGGCGGCGATGATGGCGCGACGCGGGGAGAGCGAGGAAGCGGCGATGATGGCGGATGCGGTTTCCGTGGATGGGAGCGGTGCGCGGTGGGAGGTGAGGGAGGTATGGTTCGTTGGATCCGAAGCGGTGGATGATTCTCGTCCGTTGGATTTGATGAATGAGTATGTAGGTGTAAGAATGAGTTGGTGAATTATAGGGTAGAAGATGAGTTTTTCCTTAAACAAGACGAAGAGGAAGAGAGACTCGGGAAAGATAGGGAGAATAGTAACTGATCATCATACATCACCTGTTACCATGCTCCACTATCAATAATAGTAAATGACGTCGATCGGTTACCATTACTTTATTTATGGATTAATTCTCAGAAATGGTTTATATATTACCTTCCTCTTGATTAGCATGTGAGATCTAAAGAAAAAACTTAGCATTCTACTACTCTTAGTACATTTTAAACACATGAACCGATACCCGATTATAACTAAATCAAACACCAACTTATCAAGACCCAATGAGGCTCAGGCTGCACTAGCCAGACACTGATGATCTCAAATCAGAAGCAAAACCAACTAAGCAAAACGGTGAAAATACGGTATTGCACAGTGGATTACGCTACAGTAGCGCGTTCAAAATTCTGGAGATGTTGCATTGGACAGACAAGAAACAGACATGCATGCGTGCAGGATAGGCGGATAGCTGGGCCTGCCTGGCCGGCCAGCTTTTAATTGATTGCTCGATCGATCAGACGACAAACCCAGTAGGCCAGCCATGCATGCGTTACCCCTAATAACCCTTTTTTCGCAACGGGCAACGGCTTGAGGCAGACATGCATTGCATGCATATGCATGTGTGCACCACATACACGACCGATCGACCGAGCAAACAACAGCTCACTCAGCCTGGACGGACACCCCCGGAAGAGTTGGAGAGAGCTAGGACGACCAAGCCACCAGCAATACATGAAAGATTTTTCCCGTGCGGGTGGAATTAATTTTCATGTGCAGAGCTTCCACCCGTCTGGAACGTAAACCCTAACCTAGCCGTTGTCAACACCACCGCCGCTGCCGCTGCCGCCGTCGCCGCTGCCACCACCGCCGTCGTCGCTGCCACCATCGTCATCGTCGCCGCCTTGCCCGATGTCCACCGCCGTCATCCCCGCGGTCGCCGGCGACGGATCCGGCCTCTCCGCGGTGGTAGGCCACGGATCCGGCCTCCCTGCGGCGGCCAGCGACGGATCTGGCCTCCCAGCAGTGGCAGGCCACAGATCCGGCCTCTCCGCGGCGGCCGGCGACGGATCCGGCCTCCACACGCCGGCCGGTAGACGGATCCGCTCTGCCGCCACCACCGTAGCCGATGTCGCTGCCGCCGCACTCGCCGATGTCGCCGCCGCGCCCGCCAATGCCGCCATCTCCGCCACCCTAACCAAGGGCGCCGCCGTCGCCTAGGAAGAGAGGGAGATGGGAGGATGGGGAGGAGAAGAGGGAAAGGGAGGATGTGGAGGAGGGAGATGGGAGGATGGGCAAGAGGATAAATGGCAGCGCCCGCGTGATGGGAGGATGGGGAGGATTTTCCTGTGCGGGCGACGGCCCGGCACCCGCCTCTCATTTTCCTGTGCGGTTGCACTTATGGTCCGCCTGGAAACAAAAGGGTCTAGTGTCCAGAAAAATCTTTCATGTAGTAGTACGCCGTCGCGGTGTCGTGCATGCATGCATCCATCCATGGAGCGAGCTCCTCTGACGTAAAGTTAGAAAGACGTGGGTCCTTTACAGGTGAGGCCCACCTTCATGGGCTCACATATCAATGGCTATATCTTCGGGACCACCTATACATTTGTCGACAAATTTTCTCCTAAAAATTTGACAGATGTAATTATAGTACAATCATAGTTTAATTACACTGTAACTTGTATATAATTACATTGTAACTTGCATATAACTACCGTGTAACTTGTATGTAAGTTTCACGTAATTTTAAATCGTTAGATCTATTACAAGATTTGTTCTGGTGAGGAAGAAAGAAAATCACAGCACACACATATGTGAAAGGATTTGTTCCCACAGCCTCCATTTTACCGAAATAATATGTTATGGAGAGATTTTTGAAAGTTACATACAATTTACATTATAGTTACAGTGTAATTATATTACGATTGTACTGTAATTATATCTGTCAAATTTTTGGGAAAAAATTTATCGACAAATATATAGCAAAATTGATATCTTAAAGTCAGAGGAGCCTCATCCTCCGTCCATGTATGCTCCTGCCTCGCACGCTCGAGTGAACAAAAAATGGTTGGGTCCCCGGCCTGCGCTGGGTACGGAGGGCGTACGGGGCGGCGGCCGTGTGCCGCCCCGTCCGTGGACGACCGGCTTGGAATAACGCTAGCTGCGTGCCTGCAACTGCAAGTGCAAAATATACCTGCGCGCGCGCGCCAAAGGGAATATTATCCAGCTGGTGACCGTCCGTGATCCATCATGGATTGTCCGGTCCCACGTGGCCCATATAGTATGGCTCCTTCCTTGCTTGGATGCACACGGTATCCATCCAAAACCCGACCATTGGATCGTGCATGCATGTATATATGGCGCCGCTACTTGGATAGATCATACTCCATGTCTTGTGGTTGGTCCAGAGATGTGAAGATCGATATGATGTCTAGCGCAATTCTAGTCACAAGAGTACTACCCCGTTCATTGCTACAAAATTTTAACGGATTTTCTACATATCTCATTTGACATAAATTTTGTAATGAAATCTTATAGATTTTGTATCGTTCGATTCGCACCGAGATTCACACTTTCTTCAACTCCGGCGAGTTCTCTCCTCTTCTCATATGCTGGCGATGCCCCAAACTTTGGTAGCGTAATATTTTAGAATATTGTGGAATTAGAGAAATTTGCACACTTTCTCATTTGATTCGCGAGGAGCTGGATGAGAAGAAACTCTCATGTCTACTTTTGCAGTAGAGATGGAACTAAGAGAGAACCATCGACTATAACCCCAAAAGAACCAGATTTCGTAAACAACATAGAGGAAGAATGAAGGGAAAATCCTACCGAGGCAATTGTATTTGTTTTGGTAGATATGCTCTTCAAGCACTTGAACCCACTTGGATTACGGCGAGGCAGATAGAAGCGGGACGAAGAGCAATGACACGATATGCACGTCATGGTGGAAAAATCTAGGTACATATATTTCCCGACAAACCGGTTACAATAAGACCAACGGAAACACGTATGGGTTCGGGAAAGGGATCCCCCGAATATTGGGTAGCCATTGTTAAACCAGGTAGAATACTTTATGAAATGGGCGGAGTATCCGAAACTGTAGCTAGAGCAGCTATTTCCATAGCTGCCAGCAAAATGCCCATATGAAGTCAATTTCTTCGGTTAGAAATATAACCCCCCCAAAAAAAGTAGTATTGAAAATAAAAAACCAGGTTCTTTTTTCTGGAAAAACAATATTTCTTTCATCCTTTTGCATTGAAATAACAAATTGAAATCAAAATAATATGATTCAACCTCAGACCCTTTTAAATGTAGCAGATAACAGTGGAGCTCGAAAATTGATGTGTATTCGAGTCATAAGAGCTGCTAGTAATCAGCGATATGCTCGTATTGGTGATGTTATTGTTGCTGTAATCAAAGACGCAGTGCCCCAAATGCCTCTAGAAAGATCCGAAGTAATTCGAGCTGTAATTGTACGTACATGTAAAGAGTTCAAATGCGAAGACGGTATAATAATACGCTACACAATAATAGGAAAGGTTAGGGTTTTTAATATTGAATTTATTAAAATACTAAAATATATGGTCAAGAAAGAGGATCTAGAATATATCTAGATGTGTATGTTTATTTATCTATATTCTATATTTAATGTAATTCTTTTTTTAATCTCCTTTTTTTATTTTACTCTTATTGAATCGCGGTATGACGACAATGCAGCGGTTATCATTGATAAAAAGGAAATCCAAAAGGAACTCGCGTTTTTGGCGCGATCGCCTAGGAATTGAGAGAATTGAATTTTACTAAAATAGTTTCATTAGCTCCTGAAGTATTATAAATACTAGTAGACAAGATATAGATCAAATAAAAAATTAGTAGATTGTGTTTCACGTATATGCTTTAGAATCCAAAACGAAAAGAAAAAAGAGAACATGTTGATTATAGAAAAATTAGGAGGAACCTAGAATTAGAGTCTTATGGGCAAGGACACTATTGCTGATTTACTAACCTCTGTAAGAAACGTGGACATGAATAAAAAAGGAACTGTTCGGGTAGTATCTACAAATATTACCGAAAACATTGTTAAACTACTTCTACGAGAGGGTTTTATTGAAAGTGTTCGGAAACATCAGGAAAGTAACAGATATTTCTTGGTTTCAACTTTGCGACATCAAAAGAGAAAGACTAGAAAGGGAATATATAGAACTAGAACCTTTTTAAAGCGTATCAGCCGACCTGGCTTACGAATTTATGCCAACTATCAAGGAATTCCTAAGGTTTTGGGCGGAATGGGAATTGCTATTCTTTCTACTTCTCGAGGTATAATGACAGATCGAGAAGCTTGACTAAACAAAATTGGGGGAGAAGTCTTATGTTATATATGGTAATCGCCTCGCCTATAGCGGTAATCGCCCCACCTATAGTTATAGTACCCAAATTCTATCTTGAACTTCCTATTTTTCAAACAAAAATACAACGTTTTTTTATTTTCAAATAAAAAAAGAAAAATAGGAGAAAAAAATATGACAAAAAAGAAAAATAGGAGAGAAAAAAAAAACCCGAGAGAAGCAAAAATTACTTTCGAGGGTTTAGTTATGGAAGCCCTACCCAACGGAATGTTCTGCGTTCGCCTAGAGAATGACACCATCATCCTGGGCTATATTTCAGGAAAGATCCGGTCTAGTTCTATACGAATACTGATGGGGGATAGGGTCAAAATTAAAGTAAGTCGTTATGATTCAAGCAAGGGGCGTATAATTTATAGACTTCCCCATAAGGATTCGAAGCATATCGAAGACTCGAAGGATACCGAAGATTTGAAGGATACCAAAGATTCAAAGGGTTAGGTTTTTCTTTTTTTTTCTAGGGTAAAAAATTCAAAAGTTCTAAAATTCAAAGGATTAGAGTGTGGTAGTGTACGTGGGGCAGCAAGAAGGGAAGGAGAAAAAGAATGGATTAGGGTTTGGGGAATTTGCATGAATCTCAAATCAATCCAACGGCTTAAAATTTACAAGATATGAGTAGTTTTTTTTATATAAATATGGATTACATAGCCCTCAAAATATAAGCATTTCTCACTATATATCTAAACATCTATTTACTTACATTGAGACTAGGGAAATTCTGTGAAATTTTGTCATGTTACAAACGACCATGGCTTTGCCCATATGCATGACAGCTCCAATTTGGATCCATATATAGTAGCTTTTTTGTATATATGCTTATCGTTGCAATTAGCTTTCGTCCTTCACGGCTAATCTTCAGAAAAGATGTTATGGGCGCGTGTGAGAGGTTCTTATCCGTCTATAAAGGAGAGGTTGTTTTTCTTAGAGGAAAGAGAGGTCCTTAAAACTCCTCTTGGTCCGTGTACGTACAAGACTCCATTTCGTGGAAATTAAAAGTAAATATATTTAAGTAAAGATTACGTGTTACACCCTTCATCCCAAAATAATTTAAATCCTAACTAACCAGGACAAACATTTGTCCTATTTCATAACTAGGATTAGGATTTTTTTTGGACGGAGTAGTATTTGGTTGGAAATTCTAAAAAACTAGCGAGAATTCTGTTTTCAGTGCATAAAATTTGTTTGGAAGTGTTATCTTTTTTATATAAAAAAGATAAATATATTATTACGTCGCATATTGTCCTTGTAGGTAGAAGGACAAATTCAATCAACAAATGAAGAGATGATAACAACAAACACAAATGTGAAGAATTTTCCCGCAAAATAAATCGAACTGCCAATGTTGTCAACACTTTTTATTTCTGGTTTGTTATTTCGTTTCTTCACGTGGAGATCGAATTTAGCCTTAAATATTGTTAAGAAGGAATACATAATTTTTTTTATATTGTCTGCTGTTTAAAAAATATGTTTCTTCCAAGATGGCTGAAATTGTTCCACAAAGCTGACAACGATAATTAACAAAGGTAATTATTCTCCTTTTCTATAGTTTACAAGGTAATTATTATTCTCCTTTTCTACTATTTACAGGGCGATTCAAATATGTATTCAGACCAAGTCAACACACTGAACTAACATGTACTCCCTCCGTCCCATAACATAAGGGATTTTAAGTTTTTGCTTGTAATGTTTGACCACTCGTCTTATTCAAATTTTTTTGAAATTATTATTTATTTTATTTGTGACTTACTTTATTATCTACAGTACTTTAAGCACAACTTTTCGTTTTTTATATTTGCAAAAAAAATTGAATAAGACGAGTGGTCAAACGTTGCAAGAAAAACTCAAAATCCCTTGTGTTGTGGGACGGAGGGAGTACTATATAGTAGGGATAAAAACGGAGCGGATAGTTTCCGTCCGCTCCGGACAAAAACGGATACGAATACCTTTCGGATCGGATAATTCTCGGATAGTTCGGATACGGATACGAATACGGATATTTTCTCCCGGGTACGAATACGAATATGGTACCAGGGTTTCCGTCGGATACAGATAATAATTCGGATATCCGGTGAACAGTGCTATTTGGATATCCGCAGGACCAATGAGACATACCCCATTTCTTTCTAACTCTATAACCTTCAATATACCTTTATAGATTTTAATAGTAGTTTATCTCTTAACACTAGTCCATACTATTAATATTATTTAAATTTTAAAAAATATTTATAAATTATACCTCATTTTATATAAAATGAGCTAATTATATATGTTGATATTTGTTTCCATTAGAAGTTGAGTTGGTTTTCGTGTTCCGAGAAAAATTTGTTTCCGTATTCGTGTCCGATCATATTCGATTCTTATTCGTATTCGAGATAATCCGTATTTGTTTCCGTATTCGAGCTATCCGTATTCGTTTTCGTATCCGGTAAAAAATATGAAAACGAATATGGTATGAGCATTATCCGTCCATATCCGCTCCGTTTTCATCCCTACTATATTGGCACCATACTCCAACCACCTAAACAGACGAAAAAACCCAACTACTGCAAGTTCTTGCGAGAAAACTTGTCGAGCGTCGTCGTGCAAGCTTACTGTACGCGGCAAACTGAAACATGGACAAGTTAACGAACCCAAAGACAGACAGACAGACAGCCGGCCGCCTCCATCCTAGCGACAGCTCAACTGAGATCCATCGATCATCCAGCCTTAGCCATATGCATCATTCTACAATCTACACACGAACAAAAAAAGGGTAGCGCCAGCGCATGGTGCATGCCACATGCCATGCATATGGCTGCTGATTGATTACTCAGTCCTTGTTAATTTCTCATGGTAGTAACAAACCAGCAATTCATTCTAACATATTATATTTTCTTAATGTTAATTTAACATTTCGATATTTATTTTTTTAGCGTTGAAAATGTAGACTAAATTATATAATATGTTAATCCCTACAAAAAATATCGTATTACTAGCTGATGGTACTGTATCTATGTATCTTCCTAACGTCTTGCAAATTAAGTTAAAAACAGTAGTATGACATTTGAGTATTTGACTGCAGATACTCGATCACCTGCAGAGGGATGCATTTAATAACCCGGTAAGACGCGTTTATTAGTGCCAGCTAATTACGTATTCCTCGATAATGTAATTAAGCATGTGTTTGGTTTCTGTACTAGATGGGATGGGATGAAACCATCCCTAATTTTGGGATTGGGATGATTCCACTCACATATTTGGTTTGTAGGATGGGACAATTCTAATTTTTTGTTTGGTTAAAGGGATGAGGGAGAAATGGGATGGACGCTGTTTGCCATCACCGTCAATGACCATCGACTGCGCCACATTAGGACGGATCAAGCACAGCGGCAGCAGCAGGACGGCCACCACCGCCGGAGCACCTAGCCCGCTAGCCCACCGTCGTCGCCGCGGCTAGATCGGGAGATCCCCTGCGCCAGATCCGCCGCCGCCGCTCTCCCTACCTCCAAGTTTCGCCGCCGCCGCCCTCCCTACCTCCAAGCTTCGCCGCCACTCGAGCCCGCCGCATTGACATCACCGCAGCCGCTCTCGTCGAGCATCGCGATGAGCGGTGGGATGGTGCCGAGCATCTCGCTCGTGGCGGCGACCGGTGTTGAGGCAGGGGGTCGTGGAGGAGCGTCGGCGGTCATGGAGGTGGTGGCAGGCGGTCGTGGCGGAGCGCCGGCGGTCATAGAGGAGGCGGCGGGCGCGGGCGCGGACGAGCGCCGGCGGTCGCCGAGGAGACGCCATGCCACGACCGCCGGCGGTCACGGAGGAGGCGGCGGGCGCGGGCGCGGATGAGCGCCGGCGGTCGCTGAGGAGACGCTGTGTGCTCCGTCCAAGTGGGACGAGCTCGTCCGGTCGATTTTGCCGGATGGGTTTGTCCCGTATCTAGGAGGAATATTCCTCTCTAGAGACCAACCCATCCCACTCGTCCGTCAACCAAACACCTCTAAAAATAGGCGTCCCATCCCATCTCATCCTATCCCACCAACCAAATACTACCTAAGTGATCAGGATGAGTCATCAGGTGGTATCACGCCGACATGACAGAGCTGTAATAATTTCACTAATTACTTAATTAATTAATTGACAGTGTTGTACAGCAGTGCTAATGGAGTAATTAATTAGTCAACATGATTCTAGCCAGCTAGCTGGTTAATTCGTGCCTCGAATTAATTAACACAACAAAAAAAAAATCCTCCTTCTGACGCGCTGATCGAATAGGAGTCAGAACTCAGAAGAGATCAAACAGCTGCGGCACGTCCGCCGCCTTGCTGCACTGGGCCGCCGCCACCGCCGGCGGCGGCACGACGGGCGGCGCCGACGACCGGAGCAGCGCGAAGTTGAGGCCCTTGAAGAAGGCGTGGGATTTGACGTCCGCGGCGCCGCGGCGCGACCCGAGGCGCGACCGGGGGTCCTTGTCCAGGAGCCGCGCGATCAGGTCCCGCGCCGCGGCGTCGTGCGGCGAGCCGCCGCCGGCGGCGTCCGGGGGGAACTCGAGCGGGCGGCGCACGATGTTGCGGAGCGTGGCCTCGTTGGTGGCGCCGACGAACGGCGTGCGGCCGTAGAGCAGCTCGTAGAGGAACACGCCGTACGCCCACCAGTCCACGCCGGCGCCGTGCCCACCGCCGCGCGCCACCTCCGGCGCCACGTACTCGTGCGTGCCGACGAACGAGCTGGACCGCGCGTCCACCGGCTCAGCCACGAACCGCGGCCGCCGGCGCGGCGCGGCGCGGCGCCTCCACCTCCTGAGCCTGAACAGCTGCACCTCCGGGAGGCAGGTCGGCGTCGCCGGGTCGTCGTCCGCGCCGTTCCTCGCGTCCTCGAGCGCCGGCGACGCCGTGGACTCGAGCGACAGGTCGAAGTCGGTGAGCATGATGTGGCCGTCGGCGCGTATGAGCACGTTCTCCGGCTTGAGGTCGCGGTACACGATGCCCATCATGTGCAGGTACTCGAGCGCGAGGAGCACCTCGGCGGCGTAGAACCTGGCGGACGCGACGGGGAACCGGCGGCCGGGCACGCGGTGGCGGAGCGAGTGGAGGTCGCCGCCGGGGCAGAACTCCATGACGACGCAGGAGTAGTCCTGGCCGGCGTCGAAGTCGGCGAACATGGTGGGGAGGAACGGGTGGTCGAGTCGGCGCAGGACGCGCTTCTCCGCGGCGGCGCGGCCCAGCTTGCCCTTCTTGGCGAGCGCGCGGCGGTCCACCACCTTCATGGCGTACTCGCACGGCGACGGCGAGCCGGCGCCGCGTTTTCCGTCGAGGCGGCAGAGGTAGACGGTCCCGATGTCCCCGGCGCCGACGCGGCGGACGAGGGTGAAGTCCCGCGGGCCGAGCGGCGCGGCGGCGGCGCGGATGGGCGCCCAGGCGACGTCGGCCGCGCGGTGCGGGCGAGGCGGGGAGGAGGTGGGCGTGGCGGTGGCGGCCGAGTCGAGCGAGAACGTGGAGGAGCGGCCACCGACGCTCGCCGTGCTGCTGCTACTGACGCTGGAGCTGGGCGTGGAGGCGGCGTCCACGTCGTGGTAGGACAGCGGCTGCTGCTCGACAAGCATGGCGGCGGAGTTGGGAGGCTTGGGCGGGAGAGAAGACGACGACGTGGGCGACGCGGCGGCGGCGGCCATGGAAGAGTGTGGCTTGGTGGGCGAGCGGTTGGGTTAGATGGATCCGGGGCTGGTTGGTTTGGGGGGGTTTTGTAGTGGATGGAGGTTTGCGCGTTCGAGGAAGGGTGGTTGCAGGTGGTGGCCATTTTTATAGGAGCTCGAGATGGAGGCAGTACGAAGGCCGGAGCACGGGCCAGGCTCGCCACCTGCGTGATGGTAACATGGAAGCTTCCTTCTTCTCTTCTCATTCTCAAAGGAAGAGTCTGCTGGTATGTATCTCTAGCTTAGAGCAAGTACAGTAATGGGCGGTAGTAGTCAGGGTTTAGGGTTCCGAAATGGCCTTCCGTTTCAGACTCTGGTAGAATGATGGTTTTCACAAATTCCGGTGGAAAGCCGGTAGATTCCGAACAAATTTCATAAACCAAATTTAAATACAAATTCCGTAAGTTTATCGATAAGCTTACGAAAACCGGTCAGCTTTGGCAAATCTTCGAGCGAAATCATCAAAATTTCTATCGGTAACTAGAAAAAAAGGTAAACTGAAAGTGTTTTCCTTTTTTTTAATTCGTTATTCTTTTCTTTCCTATTGTAAATTTCATTAAATACGCGGAATGCATCAATTTTATCAAAAATTTATATCCCAATAGGTTCTATGAATATCATACTATTTATAAGATTTTATTTGGTTTTTTCCTTTTTTTTTATCAATTCAAATTTGAATTTGGATGAAACTCATCGAAATCTCAGACGGCTTCTACTTTCGAGCCTCATCGAAACCTCGGAATTTCATGTAATTTGACCGGTTTTCATCGGAATTGTGAACCCTGTAGTAGTTCCACGTAGGATTTTGTGATGATCTGGAGGAGAGAGGGGAAGAGAGAGAGAGAGAGAGTGAGCTGGCGACTGATTTGTCGCCGAGCTGCACGCACCGCTTGAGGAGATTGTGGGGCCTGCCTTGCGCTGCCTCTTCTCGCCGCAAGGCTGGAGAAGCATCGGTCATGCCTCCGTCGCCAACACCCGCGGCCACCGGACCGCTGCCCTCAGCCTCGTCGGTGTCGATGCACGGTCACTGCTGTCTCCCACATCCGCCGCACGGGCCCCATTGCCCCCGCCTGCACGGTCGCCGCCGTCTTCCGCCTCCGCCGCCATCTCCTGCATCCGCTGCTGCCGTCTTCTGTCGTCGGTGACAGGGAATAGAAGCTAGCTAAGAAAGAAGAAAGAGAAGAAGACATGAACTGAGGGGATAGGAGGGAGAAAGAGAATGTGAGGTAGGAGAAGATGGTGGGTCCCATGAATCAATAATATATCCATGTTATAGTATTTCTATTGTAGATATTAGGTACATTGCTTACTATAGATGATATGGCTATTTTTTGGAGCCAACAGCGGGCCATGTCATTGACCTTGCTCTTAGAAAGCTGGGAGTGCGTCGTCCTCCCTCCTCCGGTACTTTCTTCTAAAAACTGTTTCCATTCTGTAAAAATCGATTTCTCAAAAAGATCGATCGTGGTATAAAAAAAATCAGTCAACTTTGTCCAAATTCTTTTAGTAAACCGAATTAAAAAAATCTATTTCAACTGATGGATCTATAACTAGTTTTCTTTTTTTTTTTTTTGAGGAATCTATAACTAGTTTCTAATTAAAAGAGGAAGGCATCCTCTTTCCATCACCCTCCCACACTTATAAAAAAAAACTGTTTCCCTCCCATAGAAACCGATCATGGTATAAAAACCAATCAACCTACTCTATCCAAGTTGTTTTCTAAACTGAATAATAAATCCATTGCAATGGACGAGCATATATATAACTAGTACGTATAGAAACAGATTAAATGTAAAGTGTACACCCTCAGCTAAAGAGAATAATCTTATAAATGAATCTTGATGTTATCTAGATTCATTGTTAAGATTTTTTTTTTCTTTTTATAGAGAGAGTAAATGTTGGTAAATTATGGTTTAAACATCATGTAGTGAAACATACTGTGTAAGTTTATCATAGTATCATTTAGGGGACTAGCTAGGCTGCTAGGCGTCATTCGAAACATTTTTTCTTAAAGCTCACATATTTTTCAACCGTAAGATCAAACAAAAATATTGAACAGGATTAATGCACTAAAATCAAATAGAAGTCAAACTTCTACATATGGGCTATCCGCAGAACAAAGCCCAATTCATGCAAGATTAAGAAGCCTAGCTAAACTTCTACTGAACTATCTATCTATACATCACGTGATTTTTTTTCACTAAAATCATACGAATGTAACTACCGTAAATATAGTGTAGTTATTATGTATAACTTGCACCTAAATAAATAAAACACTATAAATCATTCAACATATTTCTAGTCAAATTATACCCTAAAAAACAACGTATTTATGCTAGCTATAATATGATGAGCCTCGTATTTTCTTTTTCATCCCCTTTATTGCTGTGCTAAATTCATGAGTCGCTATCGCTTCACTGTTTTTCATGGGCAAGCAAATCTACGCATACATGAACAGTTTCACTGTCTCAACTGACCACATGCCAGCCTAAGCTACTTGACCGTTCACGCACGGATGCCGCTCTATATCAGCGACTAAGTTTCCGTGCGAAATTTTCTATATATAAATTGCTTTAAAATATCAAAATATTTTTCAAGTTTTTAAAATTAAAACTTAATTAACCATGTGCTAATAGTTTTCTCACTTCACGTGCGTCAACTTAATCTTTATTTTTATCAATTTTGAACACCATATTCATCTTCATTTTTTTTAGATAATGATCTTCATCTTCACCAGTTTGCAATCAAACCAAGCACAAATCTTAAATAAAGAATCAGTGGTAAAAAAAAAGTTATTGTGATTTTTAAGAAGAAATTTATCCCAAGCCAATGGTCCTTGCGTTACGCACTTACTACTACGCTCTTAAAGCAAAAAAGGACGTACGTGTGGCCCAACGGGCGTCCTGGTTGTTGTTGTCGTCGTCTCCATGGTGTTTGCAGCTGCTGTCCATCGATCAATCGGATCGTTTCCCGCCGGGGCGGTGGGGAAGGGAAAAGGGAGTTTGTGTCGCTACGGGTGAAGGGGATGATACGTATGTATCCGTCAATCCATCAACCTCGCGGTGGCCAAAGAAAGAGCCAAAGCAACGGCATTCTTTCCTGCAGCCGATCGAGTCACGTCAGATGGCGTATCAAATTAACGATCGCAAACCGCAAGAAAGCATCCACATATTTCGCACACACATGTCCCGTCTCATGTCTTGTTACAAGTGCAACTACCGTTGTTTGGACGCAAATCACCGTACGTGGCTTCCCAACACAGATTGAAACTGACAGTGCTCCATCCACAAAGATACTAGTTTCAGGGGAGAAAAATGGCATCTAAAATTACAATTTAGGGTCCTAGCTTCTGCGTCTTTAAGGTACTCACAGTGCGTCCTACAAAATGCTGCGCCTGGGCTTCTAACTAGGCTAAAAAAACCATATTAGCTACATGCTCCATAATGCATGTTGCTTGGAGTGGATCCCACCTATCTCTCTCCACTCACTTTTATCTCTCCCTCTCTCTCCCGGGCGGACGAACCGACAAAGCGAAGCGGCGGCCGACGCCGTGCTCCACGCCTCCACCTCTCCTCGTCGGGGCCGAAGGCGGCGACGTCGTCATCCGAGTACTGGCGGAGCGGTGGCGGCACCGAGCTCCACTTGTCCATCTCTCCTCGTCGGGGCCGGAGGCGACGACGCGGCGGCGCGGCCCCTTACTCTCCCCGTCCGGCCTCCTCCCTCGGCGGTGGTCGAGGAGTCCCCAACGGCGCCGTCCGGCCTCCGCGCTGTGGCCCGAGCAGCGACGGCGTCGGGCGGATCTCGGCACCTCCCTCTTCCTCCTCCTTCTCGACGCTCAGATCTCGGTGCCTCCACCTTCCTCCTCCGGCCTCCGCACCGTGGCCTGAGCGGCGACAGCGTCGGGCAGCTGCGCCGCGGCGGCGGCGGCCTCAACCTCAGCTCCCCCTCCCTCTCCGACGAGCAGATCAAGGCGTCTTCAGCGGAGGCGGACATGGCCGGCGAGCTCTGGCCAGCGCAGATCAAGCAGCGGTGCGGAGCTCAATTCGCCGCCGGAGTAGGAGGATCAGGGGAGGCATAGTGCACTGTGAATCGGTGAATCGAGCTCCGTGCCTTCCCTCCTCCTCCTACTCCGACGGCGAATCGAGCTCTGCCACCGCCTCTCTTTTTGGGAAGAAGCCGCCGCCGCCGCCGCCGCAACCCACCTCTTCATCCGCCGCGGACGGGAAGCGGCCACGGGGCGGCCATGGCAAGATCCAACGGCTCGTCGGGACACGACGTGAGGACGGCGGCAGCAGGGAGGCGATGCCCACGACCAGCGGGGGCGTGATCCTCTGGCCCGTCGCCGTGTTGATGATGCCGGCGCTGACGGGGCGGTGGAGCTGGAGCATGGAGACGATGACCACGATGTCGTCTTGAGGATGATCTCGTTCACGGTGACGGCAGCGAGGTGGAGAAGCGGGCACAGGTTGAGGAAGCTCTGGCGCGCGAAGCCATCCTCACTCCCCCCCCCCCCCCCCGCTGCACACCTCGAAAAGGCCGAAGACCGCATGCCCAACTTGAGCTCCGCGAACCTCAGTTGGTCACGCCAGAGTCCTTGCTGGCATGGAATTTCGGACATGGCAAGCCCAGGCTGAATGCCAACAAGGCGCACTGTGAACGCCCTTAGTAGTTGGTATGCTCCCTGTCTTTTTAGGTTGTGTTTCTTTATTTTATTTTGTTAAATTGATGTGATAATTGGCTGTAGCTTCTTGAACAAAGGCTAGGATTCTATTCAATTATCTAAAAATATATTTTTAGTGGCACCTAAAACATGATAAACTATACATAAGTAATTAAATATTAATTGTTAAAAAAATAAAAATGGATTTATTGGAATTTTCAAAGAAACTTTTGTATAAAAGGTTTTTTTTTGAAAAACATCATTTAACAATTTAAAAAACGTGTTAATAAAAACAATGAAGAAACCGATGAAGTTATACTTTTTTAAGGAAGGGCAAAAGCTTTGCCTTGTATATATATTGATAGAGAAGAAGAAAATTATACAGAGATATGTGTAGGGATTGTCGAAATGATATGCCTGAAAAAAAATAGGTGATATCTCCCAAAATTCCAAATTCCTATCTTGTTGCTTCTGCTTTTATCCATGCTCTAGCTTTCTTCTTGATCTTGGCTAAGATTGAGGCTGGCGTTGAGGCGATTACAACTTGTTTTTAGTAATTCGGCGTAACACTTTATTTGAGACTGAAGTGGAGTATTACCCTTAATTTATTGATTTTAAATTTCAGCAAGGCTAGTAGCTTAGACTCCACAATTAATGGAGCACTTATATGACGTGTATGCATGAGTGGTTTCCAATAGTAATTAATTTAGTGAGCTCAAGATTTTGCCATTGATCAGCTTTTGTCTCTTTGAAGAGGTGCACTTGCAGCATTGTGCATAT